CTCCACCATTTTTACAATCTACCTATTTACTTACACTGTTATTGTAAGTATACTCGCTCTGAACATTTGATCATGCCTTGTGCATGTCTCACGGGCTCTGTGAGATATACACCTATTATTATTATTAATAATGTGCATAACAGTGAAAATGAAGTACAAAGCGGATAAGTTTATATGATGGAGCACTGGGGGGTGGTCAGTTATGTAGAGTAAAGCAATGTAAACGTTCGTCTTATGAAAAACAATTGACAAGACACAAAACTGGTAGTTAGAATATTCATTCAAGAGAAAATGAGAGAAAAAGAGTTCGAAGACCAAGTGTATAGGGAAGACGCAACATTCATGATTTCGGGAGAAGCACTGCAATCAAGCGGGAGAAAGGCAGAGTGATTCAAGAAGAGACGCCAAATAGTTTGTGAATAAACGGTCGATGCAGTAGGAAATGCCTCTGTGAACACGAAACAATGGGCTTTGCGGCTTCACCGTCAACGGATTGTTTGGTCGATATTATTTATAATATTTAGGCGTAGGTCGCTTTGATGTGGGTCTGACTACATGCTAGACACCTAACCTTAAAATATCATGTAGATGAGGCAGCGGGTGTGTCTCTCAACCTGGTCCGGAATGCAGACACAAGTAGTGAAAGCGGTGGAAACAGCCGCGCCCAACAACCTTTGCCGGAGCCAAATTATCCATTGTGGGTTTAGACCCAAGCATTCGGCAGGCCTAAACCAACCGAGTCTGACACGAGATGATGAATCTCAGCAGTCTGGGGTAATATCCAGCTGAGAAGGTGTGAGGGGGAACACAGCATGTTACGTAAGAATATGCGGAAAGCGTACAGGCCCGAGAGTATATGCATTGAGATACAGCTTCAAAGCTGGATCTGTGGAACATAATTGATTCTGGTACATACTCCTAGCAGTATTGTGACCTCTTCCTTCATAATCGAAATGTTTCCAATGTGGTTTTCACTTGGTTCAACTCCGTGGCACATGCTAACCAGGCAGCTGGGTTCACCTTCTGAACCCAATTGATATCGGTACACGAATTCAGCTTTAAAGCAGGATTTGTGCAACTGAAGCATTTCCGGTACATATTTGTACACGTATTGTGATTGAATACTCCCAAATGGAAATGCTTAGTGCGCCGTTTGTGTCTGTACCCGCATTGCTTTCCAGATTTTTGTCCTGTCATGTCAATCCCACTGATACACCGCAATTCCTTTTCCCTCTGCATAGATATATGTATGTATTTATATATAGATATATATATATGCCTACACTTTCAGGCATTAAACCTCTCTGCATATTCATTCGCAACATGCTGTTTCTCCCCCTTACCCGCATCAGCTGGGTATTTCCCCAGACTGTCAAGTTTCGCCTTTTTGTTTCAGATTCGGTTGGCTTGGGCCTGCCGAAGGCTTGGGGTCTACACCCACAATGGACAATCTGGCTCCGGTAATGGTTGTTGGGCGCGGTTGTATCCACCATTTAGACTAAATGCGTCCTCATTCCGGACCAGGTTGAGGATCATACCCCCTGCCTCACCTACAAGGTGTTTTAAGGTTAGGTGTCTAGCGTGTAGTCAGACCCATATCAAAGCGACCAAGCCTAAATAACATAAATAATATAAGCCAGTCAATCCGTTAACGGTGAAGCTACGAAGCAAATTACTCTTTGCTGAAGAAGTCAGTCCATCTGTATCGATCCTTGAAACAGTTTAGTTATGATCCATTTGTCGTCCGTTGCACTTCTTTGGTTCGACCGCAGCTCTTCTTCTGAAATTTTCAAGCTTTCTCGTTCACTACCTTCCTATTCTCCGATCTCGTTTCCGCGAATTATCTCCCGAGTGGATACTTTCACCTCCAGTTCTGTCTTTTTCAATGTTCTTTATATGACAATCGTTTACATTGATATGGTCTCCATACCAGATCACCCTCAGTACTGCATTACATGGCCTTTTCCGCCTTGTGTTTCATTTTCAAAGCAATGCACCGTTACGATGTCTTTTGTTCCCATTTGAAAATTACGTTCCTACCCTCTCTGTACATTTAATCTTTGTTCGGACCGCCTTTTTTCACATTATTTTACATTTGATCATGCGCACTAACATGCCCCACGGGATTCGTGAAATATACCATCATTATGATTATTGTTATTGTATATTTTATATAAATGCGCACCGAAGACACAAATCACAACAAGATAAGTTAGAAAGTGTAAAATGCTCTCTGCTAAACATGTGTCACCCAGATTGGTTGGATCAAACGGGTAGACATGGCGGGACGGACCAGGAACGGTGGCAATTATGGGCGAACACAGAATGTAAGATCCACCTGGAAAGTTTGCTTTCCACCGATCGAGCTTTGAAGCTCGACCAGTGTGCTGATTAGGAATTGGTTAAAAAGTGAACACTGCTGCCTGATCAGCATGTGCCTCGCAGAAGAGATGGATCAGTGGAGTAGAAAAGAGAGAACGAACAGGAAACTTTAAGAAGTATGAGTGACAAACCTAGTGTAGGTTTCCACCAGAAACGTTTGTGTTCCACTGATCAAGCTTTGAGGCTCGACCAATGAACTGAACAAAAATGGGTTGAGAAGTGAACACTGGAGTTTAATGATGATGAGGAGGATCTCGTGTTGAATAGGTGACAATACTTATTACAAGTATCCACCGAATGCGGTCGGTTCCACTACTCCAGCTTTGAGACTCTTGAAGTGCACTGTGTATTTGACGAGATGATATGAATGTGAACACAGTTCAGAGATCAATGCCCTCTTCTCATGCTTGGTATACAGGAGTGTTACATTGGTTCAACTGTAACATGAAGCTAACGGTAAAGTGTGCCTTTAATGCTTTGGCAAATTGTACAATACAGGGGCATTTTTGGAATTCAATAGAGATTTTGTTCCACAATTTGGAATATTTTATAATAAAGAAATTTGACCTTACTGCGGTCCTCACGTGAGCGATCGTTAGTGCACGGTTCCTATAACGTAGCGGGTAAGGTGAGGATAGGGAATACGTAGGGGCGTTATTGGAAGACAACGAAGGGGCTTATAAAAAAAGCATAAGTTGAGACAAATGTGCCTGAGCCATAAAGGGTCAAATCTTAGAGGAATGCAACGTTCCATGTAGTCCAGTGTCGAAGAGTAACCAATCAGTTTTTTCATGAAAGAACGCTAGAAATTCTCAATTTTAATTCAATGTGCTTTGGATAGGCCAGAGAAGATAATGGGGCAATATTCTAAATGCAGTCTGGAGTGGTGTAATTGGGCACTCAGTATGCTGTTCCTTAGTTTGAGGGATTTTGTAATCATACCAATTATCTGCCTTGCTTTAGCTGTTTGGAATGAAACGTTTTCAGAAAACTTAATATTATTTGAGTAGCGGAGCCCAATATCACGGCCAGATGTGCTGGATTGAATAGGTGCGTGAGTTAATATGAGGGATCCGAGTGGGACTAGATATCTGTAGGTTGTGTAGCAGCTTTTTAATGCTGAGAAGTCCATCGTCCATTCGTCAAGTCGTTTTAGACCATTGGTAATGTTGTATAGTGTAGTAGCAAGATTTTGGAGGTATAATTCGTAGACTATCTTAATATCATCAGCAAAGAGAAACGGAACACAATGGCGGATGACTGAAAATACATCATTGATGCAGAGTAAAAAAGTAGGGGACCGAGGACACTTCCCTATATGACACCACTGGTGACAGGAACGGGTTGTGATAGATGACCGTTGACGGATACTGCTTGGGTGCGGTTCGAGAGGTAGAAAGTCAACCAAGATAAGAGGAGACCATCGAAACCGTATGACTTGAGTTTTGCAAGTAAACAAGAATGAGAAACACGATCAAAGGCCTTGGTCATGTCGAGATATATGAAGATTATAGACTTTCGGTTATCGGCCACCATGGTTAACATGTCAAAAAAGGCATACTGGCAAGTCGCGCATGATCGTGATTTTAAGAACCTATGCTGACCAGCATGAATATGATTATGGGAAAGTAGGAAGTCAGACATGCGCTGTTTAACCAGACGTTTCAGCATTCTAGAGGCAATAGGGATGTGGTTATTCGGGCGATGATTAGAGGGGTCACAAAGTGGGCTTTTTTATGTATGGAAATGATGAAGGCCAGCTTCCATTGAGATGGAAAGATG